TGAAGTTTGATAATTATAAACACATGATATATATTCATAACAATATCCTACCAGAGACACTTGCATCTCATACCGTGGTGGCATGAAATTTTTGCTGGAGTTTAAGTTCACGGATTGCCGACTCTGCAGTTTTGCGTGAACAAATTTTCGCGAATTTGGGATTTCAAATTTAAGCTGCTGGAGCAAAACTTTTGGCGGATTCTTTGGGCTAGCGTTTCCTGTCGCGGAATAATTTTTACCATACGGACACATTGGTAATACTTGTTTGCAGTCAATTGAATTGAAATCCAGCACCTCTAAATAAATAGTCAGAGTATTTTTGCAGAATTTGTATACGCAGGAGTTTATTTTTTACAGGGGATCTAAATTTCGCGGATCGTTGGAAAAACCCATGAAATTCGCGAAAATTTGTTCCGATAAAATTTCATGCCACACGGCATGGTATGAGATTAGACAATTATTTTTTTTAGAACAATATTATTAATAGACTCTGAGACTCAGTAGGTAACTAAAAAACAATAACAATAATGAATATTTATTGTTAAACTCATCAACAACAGATGAGCTTGGGGAGGTGCCTGTAAGGTTGGTGGAAGCCACATGCAAGACGAGTCGCGCGCGTAGGGTAACCATGGCAACCCTGAGAGCGGCAACCACCAGACACCGTCACACTGATAGTCAGTGGAAACAACTACATACTCACCCAATACTTACCAAAAGGGAGGGATGGGCCGGGAGCAAACACTTCGAGCGCCGACAACGAAGGGCAACACGCTCGAAATGGCTTGACATCCACGGGAGGGCAGTAAAACAACAAGGGCCCTGCAAAAAAACCCCGGCCACCCCGCATCCCTACGATTGTGCGGGATACCGCTGGCCCCTATTGTCGAGCGTTTTAACTTTAGCTTGAATTCAAATACAACCCCATTAAAATTTTTTAGAAACAAATTGTAAGAAATCTGGGCATGGAATTTAATGTCACAAGGTTTGCAAGGTTTTTAAGCTCCGAGTTATCATGCCTTCACCAAAATTTTTTTACATCTACAGTATTTAGTATCCTAACAATCATATAGTTAGTAAAAATTAATTTTTTTCTTTTCTTTCCTTGTCATTAATTTTAAGAAGTACCTAGAACTAAAATATGTTTTGTTTCATTCATGTTTTAGAGAATTTATAACAGAGGCATGGGAGGAAGGTATTATAATAATATAAAATTTAAAGTTTAATGGTGTGCATTATTTACTAACTACGTACTAGTTGTTTGCAAAAAAACCCAACGTTATTTGCATCTAAAGAGGGGGTTGAGTCAGATTGAGAATACATGTCAGGTGCCTGGCATAGTATTTTGATGTTTGACCAAAATTTGCAGTGACCCACATCACTGTGATTCTGAGATGTCACAAAATCCAATTTTGCCTAATTTTCTGATATGGTGACTATTTAAATGTGCAAGTTATTAGATGCAAAATAGAAAAATAAGAATATTGATGGCAAGATCTGCTTATTTCGTGAATTATACTTTTATGGCTAGCCATGACAGTACCTCACTAGGTGCAACTGTGCATACTAAATGTAGCTTTATTAAATTAAATTATTTTTTCAATGATTTTGTTTTGAAGGGTAATTTACAATAATCTAACTAGTGCTAATATTTGTCAAATAATTAAATTGTTTCTTTTGAACTATAAAAATGTTCTACAATCTCTGTTTTTTAATGTCATTCATGCAAGACCGTCAACAGGAAAGGGCAGATGTCGGGAGACCAGCGAACTCAAGTTGATCTCTAGTTATCACCCTCTACACCCCATCACAGATTCGCGAGGACCCATGCGAGTTACATACATGTATCACTAGTAATTTTTTTTAATCCATCCATCAAATTTGATGAAATTGTCAGTAATAATAATAAAAAATGATTGCAAAATAATGGTTGCTGGATGGTTTTCCTTAGAACTGGTGGTCCAAAATGTCAAGCAGATTTCGAAACCTTAACATCGGCCGCACTCTCAGTCGAGTGCCATCGTCAAGTAGTAAGCTTCGTGTGCTACCATCCTCCAAGAGTATGGAAAGCCTTTGTGATCAGATGAAATGACTCAGGTCAAGGTTCACACAGCCTTGTTAGCGATGGATCAGCTATAACGTTAAAGTCACTGGATTCAGGTGGGTTTGACAGAGTGTGTATTGCCAGACTGAGTGTAATAATAAGTGCTTATTCACTGAGAGGGAGGTCTGGATAGAAATATATTTTGGCTGCGATCATGGTGTATGGACTGTGACTCAAGCTTTTGGCCAGAAGGGCTTCCAGGTGTCCCGTGGACACCCAATCCTGGGAGAAAATGATGAAAATGCACCAAAGCTTTAACAAATTTATGGGGGGGGGGGAGGGGCATGCCTCCAGGACACCCACGTTTCAAATTCTGGCTAAAAGCCTGCTGTGACTAAAGCAAAAGGGTTATACAAGCTATGTCATAATTAGAGGTTATTGCATGAAGGATTGTGTTTACACTGTGATTCTAACTTGCTTTTGAACATAATAAAATGATCAATCTTCAAATTTGTGCAGAGTTTTTATTTTGAATTTTTTTCACAGTTATTACGAGAATCTGGTTTAAAAGGCACTCGTGCTTAATCAAAAGAGGCCACCGACAATCTAGTAAGTTTCTGATGGAAAGGATATGCGTTTGATTTTTTCTATTTGAACTTATTATTTTTAAGATGTTTGTATGGCAGTGAAACAAATTATGTGGTCTACACCTCACAGAATGCGAAATGTCCTTGTAATAAGCAGGGCTAAAAATTAAACCGGTCGGTAGCAGATGTTTCGCCAGTGGCGATTTAAAATCTTAAAGCTGGACCAGGGCGACTAAAAGTTTGAGGGTTTGATCGCCCGAAGGGCGACTAACGATATAAGCTTAGAAAAAGTTGCAAAGTAACGAAGTTAAAATTAAAAATAAAATATGTACCGGTAGTTAAATTGGGAGCGTACCTGTTTTCCTTGGTCACTTTTCCCTTAACTCTAATTTCATTGACTTTAGTGGATTTTTAGTTCTTAACGAGCACGATTGTAAAACAGTTTTCACACGAGTATTTAGATGCGATCCGTAAATATAGTCTGGACGCCTATTTTGATTTGTTATTGCCACGTGACTCCAGTCATACCCAGAGTTCTATGCGGGCAACGTTTTCGAGTCTCGCATGTTTATCGCCCCCAGGCCACCCAACATACTTCTCGCGCAGGTTTTGGCATAGAAATTCTGATGTAAATACCCCACCAGAATGTGGAGATTTCTCCAAGGATGTGAGGCCGCTGCCGTCCAAAAAAACTAAAACCAAGGAAGATGCGGGTAGAAAGTAGCAAAAACTACGAAAAGAAGTACGAAAAGGAAAAACCACGGAGAAATTTCAGAAAAGCTGGACCCCTCAGGGTGGAGGCCGTGTTTGTTGTCGCAAGATAACGCCAGTTTTGCTCCCTTTGTAAAGAGGCGGCAGTATTAAGACCGTTTATAAATTTCAAGTAAATATGTTTTTTTTAAATCAACTTGAGGAAGAATATGTGGCACTTTAATTTTGGCCTGGGCCACTAAGAATTCAAGGGAAACTGCCCGACTGGCCACCAGCACTTGGAGTTGAATTTTTAGCACCTGTAATAAAGAGCTATTATTTTGTTAGGCATTGGTGGCACATAACAGGCAAACTGCCAGATGTATTGCATCACATCTCTGTTTTTAACCTCCAATTCTGGCCTTTCTCCTTCATTTTGAATTACTCTTACCAAGTAATCACAGCGTCATCAACACAGTAACAATCTAGATAGATCAGTCCACACCCCAGCGGGGCCAGTAAGTACTGTTTGACTTACAAATTTTGTAACATCAGGTTATAAAGGGGCAGCTGTCACTGGATTTCGCATGGCGCGAAAACTGCTCACTTCCTGTCGACCAATAAATTATTTGGCTCAGCCATTCCTATAGAATGACGGGTTTAGTGAAAAAATATTTTGCCATGTATTTTGTTTCTAATCACGATTTTTGTAAAACAGATAAAGATCCGTAATATTTACCTGTAACAGCGGTGCGCTGTTGCGCATACGTATTTTCCGAAACATGATTCTAGCATTACAGAAATATTTTGTGGGCAACGGCCGTAACGCAACGCACTTTCGACAGCTCAAGCTTAGATTTATCCATTCGTACATAAGTGGTTCAACGGATAACCGTTGCCGTTTGAACGGCTCAATATTGTGTATCAACGGGATAACCTGGCCTTAGCTTAGAAGCGGGTGGAAGATTTTTTTATGAACGGGTAGGCAGCAGGCCGTTGGAACGGCTGAATATTTTGGTCGAACGGCGCGACACATTTGTTGCTTGAGGAGTACGAGTGATCGAAAGCAGATGTGACCTCAGCTGTGACCTAATCACAGCGAAAACGTACAACAAGGCTTTCCGTTCGAAAGGCTAGAAAGCCGTTCACGCGTACCCGAACGGTTAGCAAGCCGAACGGCTGCTACGAACCGTTCGAAAAAAAATGTTCGAAACTGCTGCCTGTTATCGTATCACTGTATCCCTTCAGTAACCTGCAACGAATTTCGCTTCGAGCCAAATGTTTTTTAAACTGTTATCTTCAAGATAAATGCATTTATGGGGTTTTGTCCACTCTCTCCATTGGCTCTTGTCGGGGTATTGAATATTCTTTTTTCGCCGCTGAAATTGGCGACGCTTTTCCATCGTGTTCGCCGCGCGCCACTTAGTTCGAACGCCATGTTTTTGGATTTGGCTAACTCAAACTTGAAAAAGTTGGCCCCCAACCTTTTCAAGTTCGACTAGCGCGAGACTGGCGCATGCGTCTCGTGTGGACAGTGCCCCATTACCAATAAATTATTTTGAATGCAAACAATTTTTTTCTCTGTATGCAGGTGTAATAGGCCACTTCCGAGTTCCTTCTATTTCTGTATCGAGGCATGCTGCTACATTTGTGTTATCCACCGCAGTATTCGGCTGGGAGACTACGGTGGCCTAATGGTTAGCGCGTTTGACTCCAGATCGAGTGGTCCCGGGTTCGAGCCCTGGCCTGAGTCATTGTGTTGTGTTCTGGAGCAAGACACTTTCTTCTTACAGTGCCTTCTCTCCTACCGCAGGAGTATAAATGGGTACCTGAGCGGGGGGGACAAAATGCTGGGTGTAACGCTGGCGATGGACTGGCTAGACCATCTGCAGGGGGAGTAGGCATACTCCTAGTGCAGGCATCATGCTAAGCGGAAACTGGGATTAGCTCTGGCAGTGTGGGCCAGTTTTGGCCCTGAGTGGCGCTTTACCGTACTTTATGTATTTGGCTTAAGGAGATAAAACCACAACCGCAATCCTTGATAATTTTAGTCGGAAAGGAATGAACTTTATTTAAAAGTCAGACTCTGTAACAGTTATGACTAAGTAATAAACATTAATATACACGTCATGTAAATGTTGGGGGGAGAGGGGGGGGGGGATAAAATGCATCAAGAATGAAATAATAAATCAATTTAAAGATTTACATAAATAAATGCTTACTTTCTCTGGAAAGAAATGATTGCAGTAAAAGTTTGATTCAAAGGTGGTGCATTTTGTTGGTAGCTTCTTATTTGTGATTTTCTAGTCTGTTAAAGTGCCATAATTGTTTTTTGTGCAATGTAGGTATCCGCAGTCCTTTGTGTGAATGCCGAATCCATTGCCTGGGGTGGAACGCTCACGAATAGTATTTTTTAAGAAGACCTGGATATACATTGTAATATTACTTGATATTTAACCGAGATAAAGCCTATGTCAAAGAGATGAATCATTTTATTTAAATAAAAAAAAGATAATTTATAAATTTTCATTTCTGATTAAATATTACAATTATGAAATTCATTTTTTTATCCAACCAAACTGTAGACAACTCTGCTTCTTCAAGTTTAATGTAATAGAATTAGAAATACGAGTGGCTATGTTTTATTGCATTTACAAACTTAAGCCAGAGGAAAGAGTTGATAATGTTAATATTTATGTTTAAATTACCACTAAATGATTGAAATATTGGTATAGTTTGAAGTTTGGCTTAGCAAGTAAATCTTCAAATGATTACTTAAAAAATTAATTTGCATGACGAATTCTGTAAGAACATAATAATCTCAGCTTTTCTTCATTCACATAATTTGTATTGCAGTTGCTTTTTACCTTGAAGTTAAATATCCTAAGGTCAAAATAATAAAAACAGCAATGTCTTTTATTTATAATACATTACATAAAAGTAACTATGGATAAATCTGTCTTAAATTTATTAAACCAACAAGCTTGAATGGAATTGTGTTGTTAGCGGCAAAATAATTAATGGTAAATTCAAGACTTCATGAGACAGCGAGACTAGCATTTTTTCTGCGAGCCTTAGACTTTTTACCGTCGATTTCACTGCTACGCGACTGTTTAAATCAAATCGGTTTGCAAAAGATTTCCATCAATCATTCACGGTCACACCTTATTTAGAAGTGTTCTAATTTTACTGCGAGTAAACCACGTCCTTACAAGGTACGGGACCTGTGTGATTGACGGAAATGTTTTACAAACCGCTCAGGGGGTTTTTTATACGGTCGCATAACAGTGAAATTGGCGGTAAAATGCGAGACCAAGGTTTTGCTCAGATATTTTGCCTGTTTACGCAAATCCGACAAATGGTTGTGTTTTTGATGGTGCTGTTTTGTTTTTTCTATTTTCAGAGCAGTGTCAGTGCTTACCCGGCCTACAGATCACTCATGTCTCCAATGTATAATAAGAGTAAGAACTTTACTGGAAGTCCCGAGTCATCATATTCCACAGCAAGCTTCTACTCATCGGCATCTAACAACTCAGGATCAAGGTTAGTGAATAACTTTCTCATCTTACACTCACTCACCACTATTGTGGACCAATGTCAAAATTCTCCTTTTTGTTTTCCTATACATTTTCTATTTAATTGTTTTTGGGAGAATTTCGCCTCAAGTTGAGGTGTTTTTCTAAGACTGATTTAGTTGTTTTTCATTCTCGTGATCTGATCATGCATTAGCTTAGTCTGTTCTTCCCCACTTACTATTTTAATTAGTGATCTTTAATTGACTTTTATCAGGACATTAAAAGCATCAAGTCCTGCTCTAGACTCAGCATTCAACCCCATGTCTGCCATGACCTCTTCCTTGTGGCACAAGGCAGGTAGAGGACCTGCTCTTACGACCATCAAATCTGCACCAGATGAGCCTGGAACGTCTTTACAAAAAGAATCAAGTTACTCGTCATTACAAGGCCATGCAAATGACACAAACAGAACATTCTCGTCTCGTTCAAAACATCAATATCCCTATAAAAATACATTTGACTACAGTGAAGGTACTGTACAAGTATATTGAATAAAGGATATTAAGCAGACTGTTGTGTAATAATGCTAGGTTTTTTTAGTCTGGTTTTATGTTTTTCCCCTGGCAGTTAAATTAATTTTTTCAGCGTTAAGGATCTTCTCGCCCATTGTTTGTGCACATCCTTATTGCACACGCTATTCATGCCGCACACGCATGCTACGTCATGCATCAATCGCGCGCGCTGAGAATGAAACTGGACAAATATTATAGTGCTGGTGGCAGCTTAAATAACTTTGTGAGGATTTTCCTCTCTTGGATGCCCGGTGACCCCTTCTGTTCTTTTCATAGATCGCTTCCTTTACTGATTCTCTACATTTTAACCCAAAAAAATTCTGAACGTGAGAAGTTTGATTATTTCACTTTTTTTAGTCACATGCGATCAATATTTCTACGAATGCAGGTGTGCATGACTTACAAGTATCCTTCTGTAAGGCTAATTTTACCTGAAGGAATGACATCAGGTGACATAAGGAATGACATCAGGTTTTGCATCCTCAGTGCAGGTGCTTATATTGCGATTAATGAACTTGTTGTAATGTTCAAGCTTTTATTTTACCACGATGACATTGTTTTCATTTCAGGTGACCTTGACAATATACTAAAGAAACTATCATTAGAAAAGTACCAACCAATATTTGAGGAACAGGAGGTAATAAGTTTGAATTTGGTTATTATGTTTTATTATGGGGCATCCAAGCAAGTCTGTAGTAAGTGTTTGTGCCACTTACAGTGTGTTATGCTGTACAAGGAGGTTCTGACTTTTACATCTGCGGATGAACCTTAGTGAAAGCTATTGAGCAGTACTTTCATGTACTGTGGTACTGTTTTTTTTTACGTATACAAGTTGGTTCTAACTTACATGTACATGTATACGTATGTGGATGAAACCCTAGTATGTGACCATTCAAGTTAAAGCTATCGAGCAGTACTTTCATGTGGTGCTGTTTGTTTTTTATTATTTTACAATGTGGGAGTTAAAGATTTAAAGTGCTAACACCATTGCCTAATCTTCAAGATCTATTTAGGTCTAAAAGGTTTGTTTTGTTTTAAAGAGCTTGTCACACTGTCATTATTAGGTTGACATGGAGGCATTCCTAACCCTAAATGATGGAGATCTCAGTGAACTTGGAGTCACACGCAAGGATGCCAGGCAACAGATTCTTACAGCCATTTCTGAACTCAACAGTGGCAAGGTAATGCTAAAATAAAACAAGGGAACAGCTATATTGCTAAATTATTGGGGTTCACAAATTAAGAGCACAAAGTCTTAGTAATTA